TGAAACCAGTTTTGACGTGGTTTCAGTTGAACCGCTGTACTGACAGGTTACGAAACACTGAGCAAATCCGATAATGAGAACAAGATACGTGTGTTTGTTTGCGTTCTCTACTGTAACCAAGCACGACTAATTTCAAAAGGATGAAGTAAACTGGTTTTGAAACCAACTTGAAATCAAACGAAGATGATTGAACTCACACTACATACAAAATGACACCTGACCTGGTGGTCTAATTACAAACACGTTGGGGTTTTAGCTGCGAGATACGAGCAAGCCTTCGAGCAAATTTTTGCTTTGAGATACAAGTAAAGATTTGAGATACGAGCACGCTTACAGACGCTAATGCTAGGAAAAAAGAAAAGTAAAAAAAAAAGTAAGTAAGTTACGTAGTGTACGTGTAAGGTACAGTACGGAGTCAAGTGTCTACGTACGGTCCAACTCTCTTCCTCCCTCTACACATGCCGCCATTAGCCGCTACTCTATCGTCTGTCTCGAAGGTAAGAAAACTCGTCAGAAAACATGTTTTAGAGGGCCGAAATGGATAATTTTTTTCCCTATTATTTCTTATGGGAAAAAATGATTCGGGATACGAGCACCTCGAGTTATGAGCTCGGTCCTGGAACGGATTATGCGAGGTTCCACTGTACATGAATAAATATAGAATTTTTTAATAATCAAATTGTCTGTCATTACGTTATTTTTTTACCTAGAGTAAATGCTGAACGTCACTTAGTGCAAAAACAAACAACAACAAAAAAAATTCTCCCGTTCTTGCTGGGTGTTTTAAGCAGTGCTCCATTTAAACTGACGCGTCGGAAATGTAATAATGTGTTCAGTATTTGGCAGCTGTCAGACTGTCATAACACATGCAGACTAATGGTTGAAATGGACTTTAAAATAAGCTGCTCATAAATTCTGATGTGTGTTTGTCGGAGCTGCTATATTTTCGTTGCAGTGCGTTCCGGATCCTACTGCCAGCTGGGAGTATACGTCTGAATACTCTCTACTTAGAAGGTTAAATACTGGTTTGTCTGCACATGAGCAACAAAACTACTCAAAGAAATGAAGGCTGGATTTAGATTGTAATCTACTGAAGGTGTAGGACACGGCCCGGGGGGAAATATTTTAAATATGTGTTTTTTTTTAATCAAATGCAGAAAAAAAACAATATTTGTATTTCGTACTGCAGGACAAAAGCCATTGGCAAATGATTGAAATGAAGGATAAAAAAATGAGACTTTTCACAAAAAAAAAAAAATTCAACTTCATAATTTCATTTGTCTAACTTTAACTTTAATTAGTTTTATAGTTAACAAGTTAAAAAGGATGGAGAATAGAGAAATTATTTCATTATATCTGAAATAAAAGACAACCTTTGAGTTAATTCACAGTCATTTCTGTGAATGGTTTAGACAAGCAGTTCATTATTTTTATCTGAAGTTCGGTATTACAATCTCAAAGTATTTCTTTATCCACTTTTCTGATGAAAACTACAAAAAACGCTGCCCCTGCTGTTGTGGTGCTGTACTGCTACTGGAGCCTAAATTTCCCAAAGGGAACTCCAGAGGGATGAATAAAGATCTTTCTTCTATCTATCTATCTATCGAAAACACTTCCTTCCTCTGGACGTCGGGAGATCCAGACTCAGAAAGTCATCCATCCATCCATCCATCCATTGAAAAATAACAGGGAAATATGAAGGAATATATATTGTATTGGGATATGCTCATTATAATAGTGACATTACTTAACAACACAAAGTGAATCGTTACATTTAAAAAAAAAAAAAAAGTAAATAAGTAACACAGTTATCAAGTGCGGAGGCTATAAAACACTTCCTGCCTCTGGACGTCGGGAAATCCAGACTCAGAAAGCGCAGCCGTCTGCTTCAGCCAAGAAGAAAAGGCTGCTAAGATTTTAAGTTAATTAGCATACTGTCCTATCAGTGTTAAAATGCTCTGACCGGGGCTTTAGGGTTGTTGACGTACTCGCCGCGTCAACATCTGTCCCGTGAAAGCCTTCCATTGAAGCACAGCTGTATGAAACACGATCTGTTCATTTAGCATCACCGAACAACACGATATACTCCTGTCCTGCTACGTCACCTGCATTTGAACCCCATGTGCTTTGTGGTTCTGGTGGATTGCTGGGCTTTGTAAACCAAGCCTTTGGTTTTATATGTAGCGATTGAGCCTCGTTTACAAAAAGAAAAAAATGCACCGTCAAACTCCCAATGCATAAACTACGGCGGTCGGGAGATCCCTTCATGTGCAGTCCCCTCTGGCTGCAGCGTTACATGTGTTCAGCCAGACCACAAACAACGGATTTCAAATCTCAGACTCGGCCACCTTTCAAAGGAGAAGAAACGAAGCGACACGTGAAGTAAACCACCGTCCCATTCCTTTTCATTTGGTGAAGAGGCAGCGATATTCTTATGTGTACGTGTAATTATTTCCCTCTCTGGCTCAGTGTTGTCACTGGGGACTGAAGCTGCAGAGTCGCTGCCAAAGCCCCATTCACTGTCTGCACATAGCCAGTGTTACGCAACGGCTAATTACTTCCACTAGGCCTGAATGCAACCACGGAAAGGGAAGGGGGGGGTGGGGGGGGGTGAAGGAGAGAGAAAGAGAGAGAGAGAGAAAGAAACAGAAGAAGGAGAGTCATGAAATTAAATAGACAGAAAGAGGAACGACAAAAGAGAGAGGAGGAAGGAAGTCAGAAAGGAAGGGAGAAAATGACATGGCAGGTGAAGAGGAGGGATATAGAAAGATGTGTGATAATAAGCACAATGGAAGTTAAAAAAAAAAAGGACAAAGACAAAAGGACCGGTGGACAGAGCGACGAAGAGTAAAGGATAAACACCATCTTCATCTTCAATCCATTCACCTCTTCTTCTGTGTGCGGTGGTTCGCAAAAAAAAAAAAAACATCAAACCATAATAACATCTTTAGCAGCCACCGCTGCAACAGTTTTACCAAAGAAATCATGCAGCAGCGGCAGCCAAATACCAAATAAGGTCCAAGGAGAGAGACAAATGTGGAAGAGCAGAGTTGTCAAAGCCAGACGGAGCCTGCAGCCTTTTTCCTCTCCAACAATTTTTAGAGATGATGTCATTATCCATAAAAAAAAAGAAAAGAAAAAAAAAAAGAAAAATTGTGTCTGCACCTCTGGCTTCCCAAAAGGTAGCAGAGGTAGGAGGGAAGAGAACGGAGGGACGAAGACATTGCAGAGAGAAAAAGGCTCTGATGGAAACGAAAGGCTAGACAGAAATGAAAATCGTCTTCGTTTTCAGTTTATTAGTATTTGTTTCTGGTAGTTGAACAACCACTGGTCTTAAAGCCTTGAAGTATCCATTAAATATCTTTGTAAAAAAAACATTTTTTTGTAAAGCCTTGAAGTATCCATTAAATATCCTTATCGTTTTTTTGATTAGAATTTAGAATGTGGATTAGTAAGACAATGGTGCACCAGAGAGGTCACGGACCAGAATATTCACCTGTTATTTATAGCACCTCCCACAGGGGAGGTTAGAGCAGTGCATGCTTTATGTTCACAAACCTTTTCCGCTTATTCTACCCTTAAAGGAGAATGTGGATTTTACGATAGAAAAAAAAAGGACGAATCGGTTCAGGGGAACTGTTCAGACACTGGTACTATTTACCAAATAACGGTTTAGCACTGGTATCTGACAAATTCCAAGTGATATCCAATCCCACCTCCCAGTAAATGTTACATGGATTACAAGGCAGTCTGAGCATTTTCATTAGTTCCTACGCTGCCAACAAAACCATATGGGTATGTGAGGCAGCTGCAGCAGTAGTAGTGAGAGAAAGAGGGAGGAAGAGAGAGAGGGGGACGGGGGGGCAAGTGAGAAAAGCAGTGAATGTAAATGGTTTGAATGCCTGCACACATCTGCCTACCAGTTTGTATGTAACTGTACTTGGGTGTGCGCGTGTAACGGTGTCCGTACTGTGACCTTCTCACAGCTAACCAGTTTTTTTTTTCCCCGACCGATGTAACTGCTGAGAAAAGCCTCAACGGTTTGATCTGATCAAAGCAACGCCGATGTGCAAAGATGAGTCGATAGTTTGTTGCAACCTGGATTTTCATTTTAAGGATTCAATGAGTAAAAGTCAAACTCAAACTCACAGTGGGGCAAAATTAAAAACTGGGCCAAACTTAATATGTATTGAAAAACTGATGGCAGTTGTGCACGTTTTCCCGTCTCTCCAGATCTGTAAAGTAGAATTGTTTCATATGGAAACAAACTTTAGTTTTGTGTAAACATTGAATCTAGAACAACCAAAGCTTGATATTATAAACACATGAGAAATACATTTGAAATTAAACCCACATCAGTGGTAATTGTTTCTTATGTCTCTTTAACTGTAGCCTTTGGAGTTTTAATGTAAATCTTTTTTTTCACCGGCCAAAAACAAAATGTATGTGCTATAACCTAGCACATACATCGCTAATACTAGATACTGCAAGTATATAGGGGCTATGTACTGGCGGGCTGACTCTAGTAGACATTTGATAAGATCTCGCGGGCCACATATAATTACACTGCGGCCAGATATGGGTCCCGGGCCTGAGTTTGACACACATACAAGTTCATTTCCATTTCCGTGTCAGGGTCTCAGGATCATTTAATCTGCACTTCAACTGTGATAGTGCAGGGGAGATAATGCAAATCAGTCCTCTATGAAGGAAACAGAGGGCAGGGTTTCATTCACACCTTTTTTTTTCTTTACCAGATGGGAATCTCCCCACTATCATTTACACTTGCACGTCACCTGCACAATTAGATTAGAGGAAGTAGTGGGCGGGACAAATTCCCAAACATGACATTAGAAAAACATTTTCCGACTAAAACATAAAACATGTTGACAAAACATTTACACAGCAACGGCTTTAAAGCTGGGGCTCACATTTAACACTTGCTAAAGTAACCTGCCGTTTCTACCCAGCATGCAGCACACTCGTTTGGAGTGACCTACCTGACCACAGGCTCAGGAATGGCCTCCAGGTTGGCAGGAACCTGGACTCCTTTCTCCCATTCTTGCCTCCAGGGGTCTGAGAGGACGTAGAAGTCGTCCGGGCCGAGCTGGGCCGAGTCTGGCAACTTCATGGCCGTGATAAAGTCGGTACGGAACACCTGCGTGGAAGAAAAATGAAGAAAAAAATCAAGCAATTAGGTGAGATTAGGAAAATATAGATTGAATGGATTTATGAGATAATCGATCAAACGCAGCTCCTACGTAGGTTTGGTAAAACTCTGTACCACAAACAAAGACAAAAAAAACAAACACAATGATCCACTGGCCCTGTTGTAAATCCTTTTAGCTGCACATTGGTTTTGGTTGTTTTGTGAACCAGTCTTTTATTACTTTTGATTTCCCTCCAACACTGACTCTACAGCAATGAAATCCTTATTCATTTGTAAAGAAGCCAAAACCTATATTTTATTATACTGTCATTAGACTCAGCGGTGCTGGATTGTTTAGTCTTTGGGCAATAAGTGTAATATAATCAAGTAAAAAATCATTTAACTGAAATAATAATAAAAAACAACCTGTAAGCTAATAACTGTGCACTAATTATCCAGTCTTTTATTGCTATTAAAGACATGAGCGGCTCCATATCATTGGTCCACGCATCTCCTCCTTATAATGCATCAGACATGTTCGATAGGACACTGATATGGACTGCAGGCCGGTCAGTCCCATGACTCTATACTTTTGTCATTGACTGTTGTCATGACGATGAGAGTGTGTTTACATCAGTGTGTGTGGTTGAAAAACCAGTGTATAAAAAAGCAGCATCCTTACTGCTGCTGTGCCATCCACAACATCTGCCAGCTAGCACAAACAAATAATACAGTGGACACATGAGTGTGTGTGTGTGTGTGTGTGTGTGTGTGTGTGTGTTTGCATTGTGCTTCCATACATTTGCTTCCATGTTGTAGGTTCCTTTTCCTGTCTGTGTGTGTGCAGCTGTGTGTGTTTCTGCATAAATAATAACGTGGTGGTGTGTTTGGCTTGTTGAAAAATGAACATGTGTGTGTGTGTGTACGTGTGTGTGTGTTTCAGACACTTCCAAGGCTGTGATGAATCTTGCCGTCCCTTACAGCAAAACAAGTGGACAGAAGAAGACTGAGGGTGATCCACGCCTTCTTCATCTTTCTTTTCTCTTTTTTCTCCCCCCTCCTCCTTCGTCCCGTGTAGTGCACACAGTATAATCTCTCACTTTTACTTTATTTCGCTCATGAGAGAGGACGAGGACAGAGAATGGAGAAGAGGGGAGTATATCAGTTTTATTACTGTGTGTTTGTACAGGAACGACTGCAGCTAATTAATGTCTAGGAAACACTATTACAAGCTCTCGCAATTTTATGTTCTGCCTTCTCCTCTCGCTGCCTCTCAATCTCTCCTTCCCTCATCCACCGCTCGCCCTCTCAGTCATTTCACGTCCTTGTTTGATGAACGACAGGCAGACAGATGGAAACAAGGACTATTATAAAAAGACGGCAAAAGGAAAAAAAACAAAACAAAGCAAAGAGTCGGAAAGGTGGAGGACAGACGAGTGGTTTACAAACTGTCAAGCATATTTTTTTTTCCCCAAATATGAAAAACAAATGAGGCGCATTTGTCTTTCAAAGCTTCCAAAGTCGGCAAACTCATCCAGCTGAGGAATAGAGCTGTCCCTGAGCTGATTAGATTTCACTAACTTGTTTATCTTCCACGACGTCGGCTGTATTTTATTGCAAAGACAGTTACGGATAAAAGCACTCGGTTGTATAATAAAGGAGAGACGAGCGAGGGGCTCGGTATGGGACACGCAGCGCAAACGTCGTTTAGGACTGATTTTGTTGGACAACTTCTGAGTCTGGAACAGATTTCCAAACTTAAAAAGTGCATTTGTCATCTCCAGTTGTCCAAATTTCAAACACAAATTATATTTCCAAAAAAGGTTGGCTATGAAACGTGGAATCTGTCATTTGGCAGTGCACTCCAACCTTTATTTATTTATTAGGAAAAAAAATATAAAAGTATTTTAAATACGAAGTTTTTCACCGTATGTCGTAATTTAGAGGAGACAGAGACCTGTCTTCACTTTACTGTATGTCAGGGCTGTCCAACCCAATTTAGGTGAGGGGCCACATACAACCTAATTGGATGTCAAGTTGGCCGGACCAGTACAACTATAACATAATGACCTATACATAAAAGTTTGTCCTTTTCTTTTGTGCAAAAAGGTTCATTACATAAATCTTGATGTTTAATGAAATATAATTTTTATAAAACAGTTCCTTAACATTAACATTTATTTTCAAAAATTCATCAAGCGGTCCGCATTGAAAGCCCAAGTGGGCCGGTTTGACACCCTGCTGTATGTGATCCAACAAAATATTATCAAGCCTTTTATTGCTATTAAAGACATGGCATCAGACATGTTCTAATATGGACCGCAGGCCGGTCAGTCCCATGACTCTATACTTTTGTCATTTGGACAGAATGAGTACTCATCACAGCTGGTTTCTTTTAGCATGATTGATTCAGGGGTTGACTATTGACTGACTGGTTAGCTAAACGACAACGACTTTCTTACGGTAAAGTCTGTGCGGCTATGTTCATGACCCTCATTCCCGGAAGGTCATGGAGATGTAACAGAAGTTTTGACAGCCTTTAGTTTGTATTTATTTTTTCAAGGTGTAGCAACTTTTGTGAAAATCTGGTTCGCATTCATGTATTTGTGAAGACCCTAGCGGGCTTATAAAACTTTTGGTAGATGCCCAACTGCTACAAAAATAAAATAACCGAGCAAGGCTGCACACAATGGAACTGAAACTCCTTGAGCGAGATATTAATTCAAATGTCATCACAGTGACATGTCATCCTTCATTAAATCGTGCTGCTGGTGGCCATTTCAGTCAGTTCCTCACCAGGTTTGTTTACCCTTTAATTTTGCCTCCTGCAAATACTGTGAAAAACACCTAATTATTTCGTAAAACCGCTGCGGCGAGGTTTCTGCTGAAAGGCAACAGCTTCGGTCACTCATTCTACAATCATCAACCAGAGACGCCGCCAACATCTGCTGCTCTCTTCTCGACATTCTCCGCATGTCTTGAAATGAGAAAAAAAAGAGCTGGATCACCGGGTGATGCGGGAACGCTGATTAACTTTGTCTCCGAATCATGATTCAGCAACAATCAGATTCTGCACTGGTTTAAATGTTACGCCTATTTGCACTTCAATCACAGGAGGTCCTTTTTTTTCTTTTTTTTTTTTTGTGATCCGTCATCAGTTGGGGTTAGCATCGCACGCAGTGCGGAGAGATCAATGACCCTCGCGCTGAATGTCAGAAATACACACACAAAAACACACTCCACAGTACAGTGACAGTACAGTTTTCCCCTCTCTCTCTCTCTCTCTCTCACTCAGTCACACACTATCATGAAGCCGCGTTGAGCTACGGGTCGCTGTATCCAGCCCATCCGCTCATTAACTCCAATCTAGCTCTGCGCCGATGACATGAGCATGCACGGTGGAGTGTGAAGCGTACATGTGTGTCCGCCCGCACGTGCACCGGAGCTCTGGCTCAGGTCCAACAGCCCGACAGGCGTTCATAATCAAAGTCAAAGCGCAGGCTTCGGTCGGAGAAGTCTCAATATGTTCACACGCACAGCTGGGTTGAGGCAAGAGTTGGGTTTTCATGACGCCATCTGAACTCTACATCATTATTGGTCCCAGTTTACAAGCACGAGATCATTGATTTGACTGACCAATGTACAAGCATCGGGTTCTGTGGCATTAGATGACGATATGCATTTCAATTATCAATTGGTGAGGAAGCAATGTTAAAATGTGTCATACATATGGATCGCGGGCCAAAACCGGCCCGCTTGGGGGCTCAATATGGCCCGAACACTTGTGTTCGTGATGTTTCGTCCAATGATATTTCACTAAATCTGAATGTTTTCTAATAAACGTGCACTTATCAGCATGAAAACAAAGTAGAAAAACATGGACTTATCGTTATTCATACAGTAGAAAAACATGGACTTATCGTTATTAATACGTATTTATGTTATGGTTGTAGTGGTCCGGCCCACTTAACCCCTGGTCTAGACCCTTATAGAGTAAGTACTATAGTAAGCTATACAGTTGGAAACTACACTATATTTTCTGAAAAATATCTTTCCGTCTGATTCAGCGGCGTCAGATCTTCTTCATTAGAATCTCGGGGAGAAAAAAAAAAGTGTGTCATTTATTTACTTTACTAAATAAATTGAAACTGAAGGTCACGCCAAGGTTTTTATCACTGCCACGTTTTTTCTGCCCTTACTTAACAGCCAAGCAAACACTTGTTTGTTCAACAATTATCACAATTCCAGAGAAAAGTCTCATTTCTTCTTCTTTTTGCATTAGTGTTTTTGTCAAACACATGGCCTCAGATGTCAGAGTTAGTTCATTTTGCTAATTATTTCATTCAGTGTGCTGCGTTTGTAAAGAGACATGAAGCAGCTCTGACCTGCAGGTGTTACTGTACCTGTGGTTCAGTATGTCATGGAGATGAAGCTGCACCTAACTACTGAGTCCAATCATTTCATCCAAATTCAACCCTCTGACATTTTATTACAACGTTCACACACAACATATTTAGTTTCACTGACCTTTACCTTCCTCCCCTGATAATGCTAAAATTCAATGCTAAATGCTATCAGAGACTCACTTCTTACAGCAGTCTGTCTCCGTTAAGACTTAAATAAGAGGCAGAAATTCCAATAAATTCTGAATGATATTTAGACTCTGCAGATTAAGACATCCAATGATGTTATAAATCTACAGCTCCTTCAAAGCTGGATTCCACTTCCTGACTTATTCCTAGGGCTCGACTCAAAGCTGAGTTAATATCTGAAGTATGATTTATCTTCAGATGTTGGCATGCTAGCTTTAGCCTCTCTCTGTTTGCAATATATTATTTTCCAGTAAAAGACCAGAACATTTAAAAGAACACTTGGTAATAAAGTGTTTCCTTGTACCAGCTCGTTGTTTTTTCTGCTAAAAGCATTCTAATAATATGCGCCACTTCTTCTGCTAACAGTAGCACTTTTCATTTTGCCACAAAGACTTAGAGGTTTTTTTTATTACTTTC